GAGTATTTTGTAAGTTAGCGAGATCAGGGGCCGGAGATAGGAAATAGTGCTCCTTGCCCAAACAAGAACTTTCGTCCGCTGCTCATATACTTACCCTAAACCCTAAACCTTCCCTCCACGTGGCCTCTTTGATGCCCACTAAGGCCGAAACCCCGCTGCTTATAACTGCCCATGAAGGTTTAGGTATAATCTCCTCGCCAGAATCAGTACGGCGATTTCTAGTTACCCCAACCCCCGGCATAAGGACCCAATAACTGTCATAGTACCATAACAGGGTCCGAATGTTAGAGGATGGGATACCAAGAATCCCAAGCCGAAAACGGTAAAACCTACCTGAACCCCAACAGTATGTAGAATAAAAGCCTTTTGGGCTATATTTAGTTTTGGGCCCTAAACCCTAAACCCTAAACTATTATTGTATCTACTTTTAGGGTCCAGGTAAGCCTTAGCCAGGTCTGAGCCTGGTAAGCAACAACGTCGAGCTTCACACGCACTCCCTCTACGAAGCTGTGCTTAGGGTTTAGGGTTTAGGGTTCAGGTCTAAGGATCCAAGGACCCAAATAATAGGGTTTTAGGGCCCAAATACCATTAACGTTACAGTATTTGGGCCCTAAAACCCTATTATTTGGGTCCTTGGACCCTTAGGGTAATGTCTTGGGTTTGCCCGGAAAGTCCTACGCAGTTACTTTTTTGGTTTGATATGTTTTGTGGTAACACGTTATGATGTATTATCCAAAAAGGAACTACATAGGAGGTTCTAAGTAAGGCTGGAGGAGAGGCAAAAACCGCCACCAGATGCCACTATACGGGGCAATTTACACCAGGAACTGTTTTTGTTAATGTGTTTTGGCCAATCTCACATCATGGGTCCCGACACTACCCCCATTGGGTTCCCCATAATTGTCGTGATTTAAGGATGAAAGCCAATTAAGGCTAGGGTGTCAGTACTGGGCCGGGTGGAAGTGCGACCCATGATTCAAAGATTCAAATAATTTCTAGAAGCAAGCTTGTGGCAATTTCTTGAGAGCACAGGAAATCGTGTTCACTTGGGCGGGAGTCGGCCTGGGTATCGGCGCGGGAGCCCTTGTTGCTGGGTCGGATTGATTTTGAATCGATTTGCAAGCTTCGAAACCCTAAATCCCGCGGTAAACCCCTGAACTCCTAAAGGCCCTGGACCTTCAACCTTGGACAATCCATGGTTCCGAGTCGTCCGAAGGTCATGCAGTGGCTGATTACCCGTTGGTTCTTCAGAATACGTGGAATGACAGCGATGATGTCAAGAGAATCTTCTGCAATCGTGGGTTTGGAGAAAGAGGCGCCGGCCGGCGTGATTCGATTTACAGCTTGGAGTTTACGGTCCGGGGGAGCAGACTTAGCCCTAAACCTGCCCCATGGCTTTTAGTAGCACTCGGAGAAGTAGATCACCACAGAGAGACTCTTACTTCTTCAGACCACACCTTCGTGGCTAACCTTGGGTCCTGCTGGAACAGCTGCCTTCTTACCTGTACTGTCCTTAGCAATGTTGTTCACTATAGTATAACCCTAAGGACATATTGAAAATACTGTTTTTATTGTAGGTCTAAGGAAACTACAGTTACTGGTGGCTGGTAGATGTCAGAAGGGAGCTCTGGAGGTCGCCCAGGTTTTGTCACAGAGATGATGTAAGACTTGTTTACTGGCTTGTTGGGGGCTGCGTTTGCGCCTGAGAGTGCTGCCTGCGCGTGGACTTTTCTGGATCGTGTAGCTTGCAACCTTAGTGCAGAATCTTCCTCCTCAAAAGTTGGAAAGGTGTCCTTATCTGCATCAGTTTGCGTCAGCACCCTGCTGTCCCGGCAGGTTACGTGCAGCCCACGCGCAGCAGTTTGCCTAACACATGCATGCTGCTCCAGATAGTGCCTTGTGCATTCGGAAGCAAAGTAGTGCTTAAGCTTAGATCCAGCTAGGATGCCGAGTACATAGTTTGGTAGTGAAGTAGCTAGACATCGCGGATGCGGATAGCCGATCACTACGTGCTCGCATACAGCTGCGTGAAAATCCCAAGTAGGCACAACCTACATTTCTATCAAGTCCTCATGTTTCGATTTGCCCGAAAGCAAAACTGCTGTTGGCAATCTGGCGAAGGACATGACAACTGGTTAAACAGATTGCTCTGCACGTGTGCAAAGCCACGCCCCACGTGGGTAAACATCACAAGCTGTTGAACAATGCGAGTACCCCAGGAATT